CGCTTACTATTAACAGCAAATAAGTAAATCACTAGAAAGTCGAATTTTGCTATGTACTATATAAAATTCTCGTGTCACAAATCACAATGTTCGTTCCCATACTCCTCCGAAACGGCTCAACCGATTCTTATAAAAAATTTTCTGCATATTCATTAAGTCTGAGAATCGGCTACTATCTTTCAAACCCTTAAGTGATAAGGGGTGTCCACCCCAAAACATAAATTAATTTTTAAACAATTTTTTTTGTTTTTATTTTTTTATGATACAACATACAAAAATACATACAACCCTTAATTGTCACCCCTATACGATCAACCCCTTTTTTATTATAGCAGATAGTTATTTTTATTGAACTACAACTATGTTTCTTAGAAATAATATACATTGCAAAACTACGTTTGTCGGGTCAGCTAGTATTATATATAATAAATACTGTCTAAAATAAATAACTTTAACCCCATACATTAACTACTATTGTGATTGTGATTTTTTAGACTATATAATGTTACTTAGGGGTAAATTAGAATTCGAATGGTGATAAAATTATTAAAATAACTTCAGTAGTGTTTGCGTTTTAAAAGTACAAAGATACAAAGGTTTACTGTTTATATTTTTAGTATTAATATATTATACATATGTTGTGAGCTAAGCTAGTGAGTAATGTTCTTATATATTCGAAAGAAAATGACAATAAAAACCCTACCATTATCGTCATAACTTCATGACGTTTTATTATTTAATTGCTCTAAATATAATCTTGAAAGAGTCTTCTACCTTGAAGTTCTCAGTTCTTATCAATGTACATAGAACAAATGGATTATCCTAAGGTAGAAAACAGTTGTGAAAGTGACTATTATGTGTTTATTTCTCGATTCTCAAGGTTGAAAAACGGTCTTTGTTATTTTGAAAGGGTCAAACGGTGTATATTTCTTAAGGCTTTACGGGGAAAGCTTAGTAATATGAGACACTTTGGAGTCGAGACTTAAACTATGACTCCTTTAAGTAAATGCATTATGTTTTGGTCACACTCTAACAAGCAAGAAAACGAGAAAATAAAAGAGATGGAAAAAAGTTCCCGGACACTATGGCAGTAGATCGGAATAAAATCCTGTAACAATCTCAGATATATTATGTGCTTGCTTAACATGCTTATGCTTGCTACTGTGTACATACCATCCTACAATTGGAACCTACCTTTTTTTATTAATTCCAAAACACAATTTTCATACTTTTTCATATGGACGTCTGTGGCTTAGTTATTGACCAAATTTTTTTCCAGGCCGCCATTATTATTTTTCTTTTGTTTACGCTACTAGCATATAATGTAATAAAAATATAATAAACAGACCCCAAAGACATGTTTGAGGAATGTTGTAGGCCTTGATACTATCCATAAACAATATTAAAACTTCATAACTATAGGTTAATTCTTAGTATATATATAATGGCGTTTAGAATTTTTCCACATTTCATTTACGAAATATTTTAAAAGTAATTACAAACTATTTCAAAAAGGTCGTTTCGAGTCAAACGTTTATATATATATTTTATTCATATTCAGTATATTGCGTATAAATATCATTATAATAGCCAAGTACAACACATTTTATTTCTTTTTAAATCGCGGAATATTTTAGATAATTAATATTGCTGCGTTAATGAAAATGAATTGCCGTTTCTTTTGTCTCGCTAAGACTCGAGAATGGCTGGACCGATATGGCTGATTATGATCTTGAAATGTTTGTGGAAGTTCAGGGAAGGTTTAAAAGGTAGAAATCATAATTAAGAAGTAAAGAAAAATACTAAAAACGACACTTGAATTTTCCAATGAAAACTGTAAATAAATGGGTAATATTTGGTGTATTTTGTATTTTTTAAATATTGAATTGTCACTTGGTTGTCACATATTTATAGATGCTTTCAGTCGTGTTTTATAGCTGTAGTATGAGGTCCGATCTCTGGTCTGTTTAAATTTTTTTTGTATTGTTTTGACGCAATACTGAAAAGTTTACCGGGTCATCTGTCTATAAGACTTTATTTAGCAGTAACAATTTAGTTATTTAAATATTAAGTATTAACTGTCGTTTGTTTTAAGATTTAATTTCAGTTTTCTTTTTTTATACGCTTTATATTAGCTTCACTTGTATGTATGTATGTAACCGACTCCTTCGGACTCGATTTTGACCCACTTTTAACGGACAGATTTAATTCAAATTTTGCGCACCTGTCAAAGATCGATGACAATGCAATAATCCTAAAAAAAAATAAAAAAAAATCGATAGACGAAAAATATGGCACAGAGCGCCGCACGCTTTTTCACAATAATACCAGTATTTTTTGTTCATTACCATTTTCAGCCTAAATTAGGAATTATTTACATTATTCTTAGTTAATATTTATTAAAATTTATTTTCTGTTTTTTAGTTAAGTTTTCTATATAAAGCGTCTGTTCTAGTTTTTTTTAAACTATTATTTATTTGTCTATTAATGTACCTACTTATGTTTCTGTTTCATTTATTTTGTTTATCAATGTAATCTGTTTTGGCTTTGTATATTGTTTTAGTGTTTTGTTTTATAACTGTCAGATTACTAATAAATACATAATATAACTACACTACATAATGCGCAATAATATATTTCATATTTACAATCAAGTATACAGTACTTACAATTTTCTTAACCTACAAAGTAATGATAAAAATTATTAAAAATCAAAACAGATTTAAAAAGTTTGGTCCCTGTGGCAGTGTACCTTTAACTCTGGCAGCGTTTCCGCACTGTATTGCGCTACTTATTCGTTGAGCGAGGAAAGTACCAGCTCTGGGGTCACCGGTACAATCTACCAGGTGCCAACTTAAATATTTAGTTAGCGCCTGTGAACTTGAACCCCACGGCCCAAGAGTCTCTACTCCAAAGGGAACAAAATCGAAGTTGGAGGAAAGTCTCTTATATTTAGTATTATTATTTACTATACTACTCTAATCATAATATCAAATACATAGTTATATCTTGATCTGGCAGTCTCGCGAGTTATGTAAAGATATAATAATGGTGCCGGTATCACCGGATTTACGATTGCCTAAACCTTATAAATTTATAATGAATTATTTCGATGAACGCGAATACCGTCATTACAGGCGAGTCGACGTCAGTAAATAAATAGAAAAGCACGTGCAGGTATGCGCGGGCGCATGCCACAGTGTCCTGATTCCCAGCTATTGTTATTTGTGTCATTGTTAGGACAAACCATATGGAGAATGAATTGCACTAATACAATTATTTAATTGTTAATGATGTTCCGTATACGAGAACAGTACATAGGGGACACATTTTTGACTCTGTTATCAATTCGTTCGTTTCTGATTTATCGAGTCGTAGATTTGTGGTTTTAAAATGTACCGAGTTCATTGTACCGTTTTGTTACAAGCAAATGATAGTAGAGTACATCAAAAAACGACATTGAAATAGTTTTGTAATAAGTAGAAGCACGCTGAAGTTTCATTATTTCTTTGTCGATATAATACAAAACTAGCCGGTGCCCGCGACATCATCTGCGCAGGATTAAAATAATATTTGTCCAAATGATTTTGCGTGAAAGACATATTTTATATATTTAAATACCAGAAGCGAATAAAGTATCTTTTCATTTAGGAATCAATTTATTACTACCAAATATGCATTTGAAATAAATTATCATTTTTTATTGTAGTTATGGTTCACTATTTTGGCTATAATGGCTTACACATAATAAACATTGACGTGGGCTTTTTTGTAGGACTATTTAAGATAAACATTTCCATCGTTCATTACATATGTGTAACTCTAGCAGTTTTGGCAGCGCACGCCAGAATAGCTCGCAGATGGTAGATTTCCTACTTACTTGATATTTGGGACAATTCACACAGTATCATTATAAATTGTAGCCTATGTGTTATTCTGATGTATAAGCTATATTATTGTAAAGTTTCATTACTATCCATTCAGTAGTTTTTACTAAAAGAGTAACAAACATCCATCCATACTTACATACTTTTGCTTTTATATTAGTAGGATGTCCAACACAATTTGGATCGACTTGCCTTGTTAAAGCAGCAAAACAGTTGAACTCCTTCATTCTTCCCTAAAGTGTATATGGGCTGTCAAGCGACCGCTATATAGGCATCTCCTGGATGCTCTCAAATAGTCTGCATGCTAATATCGGGTGCAATTTCAGCTAAACATCTCCAGTCTTGTACAAAAAAGTTAGTTATACCCATACCTTAGACACGTGTTATTTAATTTTATAGATTATTATCGAGAATATCAGGCTTAATGCGGAACAATAATTGTAGGCAGCTGAAACATACTTTATAATTTAAACCAATGTATAGGCATCTCACATTGTAAAACATTTGACGTCATATTCTATAATTGATAAGATAATTAAGTCTTAATGCCACTATTAGCCAAGCAATTAATTATTAATGTTCATATTTAATCTATTATATACTGGAATTTATCTAGAATACGTTGAAAAAAGCTATAAAATCCCTGGAATCGATTAAAATTTCATTAGTTTGACTAGTCCGATAGTAGCAGTTTAACATATTAAATAAACAACTAGATAGAAGAGTATCAAAAAGTCTTGAAATATTATGTTTATAATATTGGGTATCATAACAATTAAATGATATAATATATCATTATAATTGTTTAAATGATATAATATATCATTATAATTGTTTGGTTATAATTTTATAATTCTTTTACTGGACGAAACAAAGTAGATAAAAAAGATTCACTGAATAATATTGATTACAGACCTTACATGTATTGCACATTTCTTTATTGAAATTGTAGGTATATTTATTTTATTTAAATTAAGCTTTTAACTTTTAGTATCATCTCCAAACACATGTTTAATATTACGTCGTCGAAAAGCATCTAAAACTAAAGCAAACACGTGTTTAGGTACATAAAATTACATTTAAATAAATTATAATATATATTTTTAGGTGACAATGACACTGGAGGGTGACGAGCCAGCTGGCTGCGTCAACAGAGCCTTCGAGGGAGTCGATGATGGCTTCCAAACAATTGACTTAAGAACAACAATCAGAAGAAATGGGCATTATCAGGTATCTTTTAGGAAAAAACTCATTATTTATTTTTTGAGCCCATGATATTTGCGAAGGGCTAGAAACAGTCTGTTAACAAAGACGTTGCGCCTACTAAATACTGACTCCGAAATAATCGAAATCTTTTTATGTGCACTGAACGAGCTTACAGTAATGTAATTAATATTATATATTTTATTTTATTTAAATTTCGACATTATCGTATAAGTTTAGTAATGTAAGGATAGTGTATATATTTCTATTTTAATTATGATATATAACTGTAGCTATATCCTGCTAAGGGAATGAAGCAGGGTGCGTTCTTCGTTGGAAAGTGGGTTTTTGAAGTTATACTTCTTTAGGCGCGTTATGAAAAATTGATGAGAGTGAAATTTTACGATGCGCGCGCACCTGAGACACAAAGTTGTCAGTGTGATTATAGCGTGCGCGAGCGAGATGGGAATTAGACAATCTACAAGTAAAAAGAAATAGAATATGCGTGAAGTTAGCAGCTATGCCAAGAATTTTGAATGAACATAATGCCATTTACCTTTTAAACAAACAAAGGAGTTTTAATTATTTTTTCAAAGAAATTTAGCAATGCTTTTTCACAAAGACCTATTGTTACTTAGTTAAAAGGTTATGAAACATACGTAGTTATTAAATTGAATGAATAATATAATAAAATAATAAATAATTATTGTTATTAATATTAATTAATAATTGAATAATATACTAAATATTAAATATTATTAAATGATTAACGTTAAATATTTGTTATTATTAATATTTAAAAAAAATAAAGAAAGCCAAAGAAGTATAACTTCTTACGCGCGAACTTAAGTACACGCACCCTTTTTTTTAAAAGTATTTTTGATACTTAAACTAACCGTAGAGGAATGTATAATTGTGAATATACCATATCACTTTAAATACACCGGTTCTTGTCTAGTAGGTGAGTAGTAGCTTTTCAAACAAATATGTTTCGCCGGGAAGCGAATTTAAGAATCAGCTTGATAAGCTGTGATATTTTCATACAATATTTCTCACAGCATTCATATGGTGGCATTTGTACGAATTAAAATATTATGATAACCTATGATGATAACTAACAAAACATAACTAAAAAAGTTGTATTTATCGAAGTCCAAGGTTTGCTTTAAAGACTTAACGCTTTTTAGGCCATTCTTCAGATTCAGAATGGAGAGCAAAAATTGTATCTACCAATGAATAATTATGTTAATCAGTGAACTATTAGACACTTCGTATTAAAAACAAATTGTCTACATTTTTAAATTCTTTTCATTTACGATCCTTCAGTTCGCTTTTCGTGAGTTTTGTAATTATTCAAGTTACCGTACATAAAACACCTTTTTTAAACCTAAAATTGTAAAAGCGCTGTAATAACCGTCAACTAACGACGCAAACAAATGTTTCCGCGTTTCTTCATTTCCCTCCAAAATAAAATATGGCACTCATTCAGTTTCACTTGAAATTAAATTAAAGCGCTTCAAGTTTCCGCACGTGCGCAGTATCCTAGCATAGACTAATTTCGTCTACCAGAGGGATATTTATCTCTTTTGGTTTCTCTATGATATGAAAAAAAAATCATTATACAATTATTCGTTGTTTGTTGGTAAAATAACTTTAATTATTTTGAATTTTGCAAAGAATACTACAGTACTACACTTCACTTGGTTATATTAATAATATAGAAATTTGAGTATTATAAATATTAAAGACAGTTTATTACACATTTATTTTACTCAACGTTTGCACCGATTTCAAATATTCTTTCGCCATTAGAATTGTCTCGGAATATCATAACATATATGAAAAATATTATATTAGTAAAATATCCAGCCGTACAAAGCCGGGACAGGTTTGAAATAAATGTACCATTTTCTTTTTTTTTACAATAAATATATCTTTTTTAATTAGACAAGGTGCCACGGAAGTGTAATGTTTATCTGTACATTTAATATTGGCAACTTATCCTTTGGAGAGGTATATATATTCAGTCTATAGCCAAATCCCATACTTCTTTGATATAATATAAAATAACACTTAAAAACACGTCAATTATTACAAATAAAGGCTTAACAGCACAATGTTATGGACAAAAGGATCAGTAATTTATCTTATCATAGCGTTATGTTACCTTAGGTAGGTATTACGGCAAAATACGACAGTTTCAAATGCATACAGCATTTTTATAAGGCAAATTATTCGTTAAAGTACCTGCTCTTACTGGCCTGAAAATGCACGGTTTTCTAATTTGAATTTGGAATCCTATATATTATTTAAAAATTCAACTTCATCTCTATCAATATTTGAATAAAAAAGCATATCGCACTCTGTAATATTTATTTATTCTTAAAAATATGTCAAATTTTAAAAAAAAACCTGTCTCTGTGAGCCCCTATACTGTCCTCGTTTGTTTATATACAGTGGAATGCTACGAGTAATCTCAGTTTGTCGCGTGGGGTTGGTCGAGAGAGTGCCGCCCTCTGAAGTCAACTTTTCGTAAACTTGTGATTATGTTTTGAACTTGGTGATAATTTTTGTCTGCGCCAAAATGGTATTGTATAGACTGAATTTGGTGAATTATTTATAATTTCTTTATATATTGTAAAGATTATCACTGTATTAATTAAAAAAAACAAATCGGTTATTCGATTAATTTACAGTTGAAATATTTTGAAAAATTATTTAACATAATATTTTTGTAGTTTCAATTGTAGTTTCCGTTATTTAAATACACAAAATATCACACAACAATTCTTCAAAATATGCCTAATTGTACAACCTACTTATCTAGATTTTAAATAGCTTAACGGTACCTAGGTCTAGATTTAAGAGTTAAAATAAAGGTCAAAGACCGGTAACGCGTCAAAGTTCATTATTTTACCATCAAAATACTCAAAATTATTTATCATATTTTATTTAAAATGCAGCATTGAATAAAATTATTTATTAACAAATTTGCTATAGCTCACTGGTAAACTCACAAACCTATGAATCAGAAGATTCGATTTATTTATTTATTTACACTTCGTGACTTTTATGGAAAAACAAATACCATAAAAATTATAAGGCATTATTGAATCCCGCCCATTGGGGCGACCTTTGGTAACAAGCGATCTCTTCCAGGCAACCCTAGTAAAGAAAAAACTAAAAAAAATTAATATGATGGGTAAAATCCACCAAATCTTATAAAAAAAAATCACCAACCTTCATCTAAAATAACAAAAAACAAAAAATATTATTAAAATAAAGATTTATTCATTGCGATGTTAAATAATAAGAAATACAAGAATTACAAATTACAAAGAATTACACGATTGAGCACGATAGAATATGGTTAAGAAACATCATATATTCTTATACAGATTTTCAGCTTACTAATTACAGATCACAGACTAATAAAGGTTGACAAGCAGTCAAGTTTCTTAGGTTATTCCTACAAACAAACTTTACCACTATAGTATTAGTGACTAGTTGTTTCCCACGTTTGTACAAATACGTCTGGAGAAAGTTTCATACAAAAATTATCTTAAATAAAGCAAGCCGACCACGTTTGCTGAAAAGCAATAAACGTCGTGTTATGTAAAGAATACGATATTTCGAATTATTATTTATCCCTTTAAGATATGTGATAAAAATATATATATATATATATATATATATATAGATATAACTGTGTACAGCGCACCTATCTCTACGTACAGGGTGGGTATATCAAAACTCATCAATGACAAGAATCTGTGTGTGCGAATTGTGTTTATCTAATAATACCCTAAATAATATTACCATCATTCTTTCCGATTGCAAGGCACTACTATGTAAAACCACATATACATATAAAACCAACATAACAAAATGTACACTTATGAATGTGAAATGCTTCTTTTTACATTTACTGCCAGTTCTCAAATCAAGGGCGTAGAACGGAACAGAAGGACTGGCAATAAACTCTCCGCCGCTCTTTTTTTCTTTCTTTTAGAAGAGAAGAGCATATTAAATGCATTGCGACCTTGATTTCATTCTACATGGTCCTCAGACCGATTATAAATGAACTGTTGATATGGTAATATTTTATGCGACCTCTTCAACAATAACTATTATATTTCCGTCAATTTACATAAAACCACAAACAATTATACAGTTCAACCTTAAAAACTTAAAAATTCCGATCTGATTTTGTGTTGGTCGTCTACACGCGGTGACTTTTATATTATACTAGCTGACCGGGCAAACGTCGTTTTGCCATATATATCATTTATAATAAAAAAATAGGGGTTGATCGTAGAGGGGTAAAAGTTTGGGGTTTGTATGTATTTTTTAATGTTGTATCATAAAAAAATAAAAACAGAAAAAAATATCTAAAAATAAAAAAAAAATATTTAGGGGTGGACTACCCTTAACATTTAGGGGGATGAAAAATAGATGTTGTCCGATTCTCAGACGTACCCAATATGCACAAAAATTTCATGAGAATCGGTCGAGCCGTTTTGGAGGAGTATGGCAACGAAAACTGTGACACGAGAATTTTATATTAGATAAGGAATAATAAAGAACGCATTGACGCAAAGTATGTGAACGAAAGTGTTTTCGTACACATACTTTGCAGTATATTTAAACAAAATAATCTATTGAAAAGTTTATTAGCAAGAAAAGAATCTAAAGGTTACGAGACACTTTATGTACGTATACGTGAAGTGCCCACGTGTTCGTAAGATTATTCAATTACTCTTATCGACAATCATAACTTGATTTAAGCGGCTCCGAATAGAGTGTGTCACGTATAAACGAGCTAAATGGTCCTTACGTATATTGAATGGGTATCCGGTGTATTGTGTATAAATAATATACTCTTTTATATATAAGATCCAGACCCCCTCGGGCATGACCGCCCTAGACAGACATTATTACTAATTCCGTAATTCCGTTTAAAAAAATCATGTCACCTCGTAGTAAACAATAAATACCTTGGAACTGTATCTTCTGACGCGAAAACTACATCCACGCACGTAAAAAACTATCATCAATTAAAATTTGGAATATAAATCCATGGTTAGATGACGAAGAGTTTATATCATAGAACAAAAAGCACTGTTTAATGGTTGATTCACAACCCAAAGGCTTCATGTATTTGAACTCTGGTTGTGTTTAATTTTTGTGCGCAATTAACACTTGTTCGTATGGTAAAAACAACGTGCGGTGAGAATTTGTAGACACAAAAACATAATATTGTATAAGACACAAAAGGTAATCCTTTTGTGTCCTGGTTGCCATCAATGACCAGAAATTACCAGAAAATTTTACAGCGTTATTTTATGCACCAAAATTTTATCTTTATGTATATAATTCTACTGTACGTGTGTATGTCACTGAACTCCTCTTAAACGGCTGCACCGATTTGAATGTTTTTTTTGTATACATTTGGGTGGCGCCCTGGAATTTAGATACACAAATCAGTCACACACGGTATCTAGGTATTTATCTATACAGCAAATAAACAGCTGGTACAAATCTTCTGTGCATGTGTTCGTAACTAAACTCGTAAACGACTGGACAGATTTTGATGAAATTCGAGAATGATTTATAAGATATCTTTTTTTGTATGTAAGACGTCTGACAGATCCGCTAATATTTTATATAACTGTTTGTGGATTCATTAACAGAGCTAAAGCCACAGGGGTACACCTTGAATTGACAGCATTGTAGATGAAAACGTTTAGAACGTTTTAGAAATTCAGAGTTATATACAATGAAAATTACGAAATTTTACACAAAAGCTGTTAATAGCTGGTTCAGAAGCTCGCCTACGATGTATTAGTTATACAGTAAACAAGAACTGGCTAGCAAGAATAATGGTTGCAGCTCCTAATTAGCATCTTGTGAACCAAAAAACTTACAACTATAAAGACTACTTGCAGATTTTTTCTCGTAATTTTAACCGAATCCGAGAATGATCAATTTGTATATTTGATATTGTCGGATAATAATTAGACATAGACATAATATTTATTACTAACAAAACACACACATAGAAACACAAAAAATAACAAAGAATGAAAGATAACAATTTTTTTCTTTTAAAGAACACGGCACGTTTTAATTGTGTAATGTGTGTGCTGTGGTTGTAATTGGCCCTGGCTCAGCATTATGCAGAGGAGCAGACTGTCCACAGCGCTGGTTATTCGGCCAGAGACCACAGCAGATAGCGCTGCAGTCGCAAAAAAATAAAAAGAATGTAATAATAATAATACTTAGTAGGAAAAAAAATATTAGTCAAAGTTAGCAGTGTAAGTATTGAAGTCTTGTGTAAAAGTATATGTAAATAAAATAAAATTAAAAATTTTAATTGAGGATGATATTAGGCTTACAAACACATGTACTTAATTTAGTATGTGCATGTATGTTTGTCCAGAAATATCCCAGAAACCAAAAGAATAGATATGATCCTGTTTATGATTTAAATCAGGATATTCCAAATTGGGGAACAGTCTTTTCATCAAAATCGAGTAGCATTTAATAGTTTGATATACTAATATAGTAAATGGTTATACAACGCCCACGCCTTCGTTTGAGAAAAATTGTCTTTTGTTTTGCATTCATTACATATGATTACCTTTTTCCGACGAATGAACCTTTATTGTTGATTGGATCAACAAGAATATGCAAACATAACATTTATTAATTGACAGGATTTTTAATCTTGTAAATAAAATCTAGAGCAGCGTTGGCCTAGTGGCTTCAGCGTGCGACTCTCATCCCTGAGGTCGTAGATTCGATCCCCGGCTGTGCACCAATGGACTTTCTTTCTATGTGCACATTTAACATTTGCTCGAACGGTGAAGGAAAACATCGTGAAGAAACCGGCACTGGAGGCTGATCACCTACTTAAAGATTCATAAATCTGAGGCCCAGACCTAAAGAGGTTGTAGCGCCACTGATTTATTTATTTTAATCAAAATCTACTAATAAAAATGACAACACTAATTAATATTGTAAACTAGACAAAAATTTCAACAATTTAGAAAGGTTTTAATCAATTAATAACATTTCATACAAAAAGAGAAAATAATATTTGAAATCAATTCGATAAATGTTATATACCGTTCTTTATAAATAATACTTTTCTAAACATAAGAAAAGAAAGAAAATTGATAACAATAAGTTTCAACTTAAATAGAACTTAAAAGAAAATAACATATTAAATTTTCATTGCCAATTACGGTAACATTAATAATTCCTTTAGTGTGTAAAATCTTGAACAAAAGAAAATAAATATTCATAACCTATTGTTATAAGAAGATATAAACTTAAAAAGTCGCCCATTGGTTAAAGTATAATATTTTTAAGATCTTGTGTTAAATGTATTTTAAAAAACGTTCGTGTAAAACAAAAATATTATTATATTTAAATTCATCAAATATATTATTGAAGATTATGTATCCGTAATCCCCCAATGGGGCACGGTATACATTTCTGTTAGGTATGTCTCTTCAAATAAGGATTTGTAGAAACATAAGTTACCATTGATAGTCTTGCATCGAACTTAAGACCTTTGCGTTCACGACTCGGGTTTTTACAAATGTTTAATATTCGCGAAAAGTCATTTATTATAAAAATACTAACATAATAATTCTATACCATCAGATATCTGAAATGTATTTAAAAAAAATTAAATAAATAAATAAAATAAAATAAAGAAGGTACACTTAAATGTGTACATTATCTTACCTGCAAAGGTCGTGACTTCAAATCCCGGCTGAATTTTCCTTTCTATGTAAATAATTGCTTGTATGTTCCATATATAAAGTAAATATGGAAACTGGCATTTCTGAAGACTGGGGGTGAGATTCAGAAATGATACTTAGCACAAACTAAGAATGTGTTGGATTTCTCGTCTCTAAATCTAACAGTCAAAATCGACATCGCTAAAGTACGACTCCCGAATGTCTTACCTAATACGTTTTTGACAACTAACCTGATATAAAATATGTATATTGTAAATTTACACATTTATTTATTTATTTATTTTCTTACAGCCCATGTATGGCCAAACTAAGACTAAAATTAACATAAAACTACAATAAAATACAATTAAGTTATTTACAAAATTGACAGTAAATGCTATCCTCTTATCCCCATTAAGCAGCGAGAGTAACCGAGGAATGGGCGCTTGTTGTCGCTGGACAGTGCGAGCCGAACGCACAGCAAAAAGGTTATGTTTCCGGCAGCGGTAACAGTTGTCCGGAACGTATAGTCTCATGATTTCTCCCAGCAAGTATGCGCTTTCCGTTTCGTTTTTAATTACGCTTAAACCAAACCTGACCACAGAAAAAACATATACATATCTCAGGTCAAAACCCATAAAGGATTGAAGCACTAATGAGATATTATTAGATAATGGTCTAATAATAAATGACAGTACGTTCTCAATAAATCACGACCCATTCGTAAGAAACGAATTAACAAGAGACCGGAACTTATTATGTTTATCATGATTTAATGCTCATATCAATTCACCCACATACACTGTAATTATATTGAGTGCACATTTTACAAGTACTTCCGTTTTGTCAGCAATTGAGACATTGTTTTATACAAGAAGGATGTTAAGAGAGTCTTATTTATAGTGCCCCATGAAATTGAATCTAGTCGAGGTTTGAGTAACTCCATATTGCCATAATAATCCAGATCGGTCCACGTACGGAGCTGGTTATACACAAAAAAAAATGGTGCGTGTACTTATGTACGCGCGTAAGAAGTTATACTTCTTTGGCATTATTAAAAATAGTTTTTGATTGCATGCAAATAATTAATTACAATCAAAGACTGGAAAATGAGTCATTATCAATAAAGTTCAGTTTACATTTGAAAACTTAAATATTTATTATTATTCTCTTACATTAAGTGTAACGTAAATTCTATTATTATTCGAATGTTGTTTTCAAATTATGTCCAATGCCGTAGCATCTTCCGTGGGCAACTTCATTCTGTTAATTTTGTATCACGGTGCGCGCGCATCGTAAAATTTCACTCTCATCAATTTTACATAACGCGCCTAAATAAGTATAACTTCAAAAATACTCGTTTAACTGGTAACTTCCTTTAGTTTTAGGTCTCTTCAAGAGAAAGGTGGAAAGTTTCTTATCATATCTTCTCGTTTGTTTAAGCCGAGTAATTGTATATTTAGATTTTTTTGTCGACGTTCATTAAAAATAATAATATTAAATCGTTTATTTGCAAAGAATATAGTACATTCAGATTTAAAAAGAGAGAGATAGAGACGCAAATGACATATTAATTATCACATTATGTTACGAAAATGTAAAAAATATATTTGTTGACGTCGAACTACCTATAAATGAAACTATTCATGTTATATTACTATACATTGTAAATTACAAACGAACAATCGTTAACAAATACTACAAAGTCATCATTTTAATACATACACTGATTCTTGTACAAAATTTGCTTAGAATCAATCAAAAGTCAATATTCAAGTCCCTTATTAATCACTGCTATAAGTACTAAATATAATTGTGTTTTTTTCATTTATCAGGGTGAAGAAGATACAGCATCACAGTTGTCGCCTGAAGAAAGAGCGCTCAGATGTGGTTGGGGTCTGATTAGACCGCGGTGGCTTCAGAGATTCCGCACTGCAAAATGGGCGCTTTTCTGGCTATGCTGGGCGGGGGCTATACAGGGTAAGTACAACTACGTGGCATCATGTATCCATAATAAACATTTTAATACTTATAGATCATAATCATAAGCGTCCATGCGTCGGGTTGCCTCTCTCCCTAAAATATGGCGAGGTGGCCGATGGCTGGCCATGCGTCAAACTCGCGAACGGACTGGTTGGACTTGAATTCGTGTATGCGGTGAAATTAGTTACTTAGACTATGTATTTGCGTGTTGTTCCCACGAGAATGTAATTGCGTGCTCCTATTTTACCATGCCTACTGCTGATAGAGGGCAAATCTTTGTTGGTTTTTATTATTATTATTAATTAACAATTAATTACTTAAGATGTCATGTGAAACATGGTGTAATGGTTGCACTCCTTACAAACATTGTGTAAAACAAAAAACTTGGCGATTAAAAAGAATGGCGGAGAGTTTATTGCCAATTCTTCTTATCCGTTCTACGATTTGAGAACTGGCAGTAAATGTAAAATTAGAAACATTTAATATGTATTTCTTTCTGACGTTCATAAGTGTACATTGTGTTACCTAAATGAATAAATGATTTATATACGATAGCTATAAATATTTATCTGTTAACCTCATCTTAACTGCAAAACTCTCACAGACTACAACTCTCAAAAATTTATGACTGATTGTATGTCGTATCAATGTTATATAATCGTAATTCCCACCTTCCAATGTCAAATTAGAAGCCATACGATTCTTTGAAAGTATTCGCCCCCTAATTATTCTCCCTAATGGGGTTGTAACTACGTAATTGTGACAAAACACCTAACATTTGCATGAGGGGGCTTTTATTGGATTTAAATAACAATTTGCACCCTGAATTACCTTCGTAACGCAATTATTGAGTGGATAATAGCGAGATATTTCTTTATTAACTTGTTACTTCAGAAATTACAGAATGTTGAAGCTTGAGTGAGTTTATTAGGTTTTATGCGATTCGGAATTGTTGATATTTCTATTATCGAATCTAAATGTACTTTTAGAGGTAGTATTTTATGATTTTGATAAAAGATGAACTTTTGAAATTATTATTTTTGTAAGTAAAATCTATCAAACTATCCAAAGTACATATTTGATATGGCTCTACGACTCTACGGCTGATACGGCTGTAGAAATTGGATAAGTTTTTGGAAAATTTAATTATGTACTGTATAGAAATAAATAATTTATTACACACCGCTTTCTAAACCAATACTTAAAGTAAAAGTTACTTACGCTTGAAACAAAACAGCTGTAAAGGTTATTTAAAAGTCCGTAAGATATTAAAGGAAATTTTAAGGTTTTGTAATTTTTATTAAAACCTGCACTGGGAACTATCATTAGCTAACCAATAGAACCAAATCGCGTGAATCCTTCAACGATTAAAGGTGTAAGAGTCTTCGCAGACGTGCTACTGGCGATAAACATGAAATATGAGTTTTTGTTTTGCGTTTCTAGCAAGCCAAAGGCCGCTACACCGAGACCAAGGCAGGCTTATATGCAAATTTATCTGCCATTTGTCAAAACAGATGATCACATAGAGCCATTTTACGAATGGAAAATAAAATAAAAAGGTTAGTCGACATCACAGGAGACCGAAGAGCTGGCAGCTATCTCGGACAAAGAATTAGTCTAGCTATTCAAAGAGGGAACGCTGCCAGTATCTTCGGAACCTTGCCTAAAGGGACTCCTTTTAATAATATATGTTAGTTATTATATTATATTTTTTAAGGTTTTTAGTGTTAGATTCAAAGAATCTTATTTTTACGTTGCTTAGTTAATACTCAGAAATATAATTCATTTTTCTCAGATTATCGATCTTAGTTTATCTATTATATACACTAAGTTTAGTTTTGCTAATCATAAGCAATAATAAATATGATTTCTACGTCTCCGTGGCTTAGTAGAAAACGCACATTGAACAAGGGTGCAATGGATGCAATTACGAGTAAAGTACGGTGAACTTACCTAAGAAAAAATTAATGAAATAGATACAAAAGTCACTTGACCGCTATGGGTTCTGAATGTTCAAAAATATTACGTAAGTTATTTTATTTTTTTACTCTAATGAAACAGTGATAACAAAATGGTTGTGCAAGCACCGTAGCCTGTCTACGCAGTGCCTAATAGCAACAAGATACAACGCTCATAATTTCCCCCGGGAGCCTGTAGTGTCCGATAGCGGGGACATTATCCGTATTATTGGCCAAATATCTGTACACCTCCACAACTCTAGTTATTATGGTTTAACGAGAATTTATACCCTAGCGTATGTGACATATTTAACCTGTTTGCCAGGTCACAATAACTTTGTATGTGTTGCCACTAAATAATAATCTAGAGGCGCTACAAAGCTATCTTCATCTTTTATACATCTATACCTCACACATAGATAGGTAGGTAAGACACGCCGGTTTCACGTTGGTTACTTTCACCATAGTACTGTTTACGCTCGTAGAAGAAAAACAATTCTAGGTGACGTTTGAACGCAAAACCTTAGGGGTTGAGTTCGCATAAGCTATTGCTCCAATATCATAAATAAATATAAATCTGTGGCGCTACCACCTCTTTGGGCCTGGGCATCAGATTTCTGAATCTGTTTCGTGATTTTGCGTCGTTTAACATTTTTAAATCTAATAGCCTCCAGTGCCTGACACACGCCGTCGACTTTTTCGGTGTAAGACATGTCGGTTGCTTCACGATGTTTTCCTTCACCGTTGAAGCTAATGTTAAATGCGCACATAGAAAGAAAGTCCATTGGTGCACAGCCGGGGATCGAACCTACGACCTCAGGGTTGAGAGTCGCACGCTGAAGCCACTAGCCAACACTGTCTCCACTGCTCCAATATCATAAACAGATCCGTCCCGTAGATCTGTTCCTTTGATGATTTATATTATAGTATACTAGTGGACCCCACAGACGTTGTCCTGCATGATATTTAAAGCTATTAGGATATTAAGCAAAGTATGAAAGTACCGACTGCAGTGCCATCTGCCGGGCTGATTTGTGAATCTAAACCATTCCCAGATGCCCCTTGAACACACACAAAAAATTTCATCAAAATCGGTCCAGTCGTTTGAGAGAAGTTCAGTGACATACACACTCACAGAAGAATTATATATATAAAGATATTTTAGTGTAAAGTGTTTCACGTATAACTCGTAACTTAGAATTGCAGATGGAAGTGACTGGTATGTTTTATTGCACTATTCTCTGTTCTGTGAGTTATTACGAAAGTTTAACTTGTTCGAAACACTACTTTAAAGCAGATGTCATCGTTAAATGCGGGTGTAATGGTTACTGTATACACATCTTGGAAAATTAAAGATTAATAAGAGTGAAAGGGAGTGTATTGCCAGTTCTTATCGAACCAGTTCGTTTGCTTTCTCTTTGTTTATTTACAAAAAAATATTCTCTAACAGCGAAAATGAGTAGACACTAAAACACTAAACATACTCAGATATTATAATCTCAGTATAAATAAGGAAGTAGGGAACGCCAGTGATTTACGTTAAAAATATTTTATCATCATGGCCGTGCCTTCGCATTAATTCAACTGGAGTACGTGACTTTTATTAAAACAATGTATTTGGGGCACTTGCATATTAGTAATAAGTGAAAGTGAGTTATTTTATTAGTTTGCAGTGTTTGGTTCTATAGACAAAGATATAATTCTTGAAATATCACCTAGGCTTTGCGAGCTCTTGGTAATTTTCTAGTATGAAGTTTTCCTATTGGCGCTTAAAACTACCGTATCGTGTAGACATTTGCGGTAGATTCAACCTGTGGTTAAAGATTACGAACCATGTTTATTTGACTTCATATGCAACAATTCGACAATACAATATTTCGACCAATGTTACTAGAGGCCAACCTCTTTTGGTGGCTTGTTAAGGTACCAAATTTTCCACCTCAATTTTTAAATATCATAGATAATTTATTCATTTAGGTCACACAATACACACTTATGAACTCAATAAAGAAATACATATTAAATGCTTCTAATTTTACATTTACTGCCAGTTCTCAAATCAAGGGCGTAGAACGGACGAGAAGAACTGAAATTTTTAGAAAAATACTTCTCTAATATTACTAAGTTAAAGTAAAGTTATGATTAGTAAGTTAAATCCCATTTATAACATGTTTTGGAAAGTCAGATAAACCTATAAATGTACCTGAACAAAGAATACGTAAAAGGCGGTATTTAAAATTTATATTTTCGAACACTGCTCAAAAAAAACATTAGTGCCCATAGAATATAAATCCATTAACTCTCCACCGTAATTTCATGAAAGTCACGATGACAGTTGTATATTAATACAAAACACCTAATTTATCAAATTTCTATAGAATCTTGGATACTCTGTGCAGATTTGTTACACGTTGCAATTTTCATAGTCTGTGATTAAAACAATAGATCCTTTTATTTATGGAAATAATCTTCTTAAACGTGAATTTTATATTAACGAGAATTTATTATATTAAATAGATTTCTTGTATCCATTGAATAAGTCTTGCTTAGTACTCATCAAAGATAATATTGATAATAAACATTTGTTTTTTGATACAATTATCTTTTGTTTAATACTTTGTTAGATATTTGGGTTTTTTTTTATTATAATATTATTTTGCAATCAGTCAGCTAGACTATGAGCAGATGTGTTGAGAGCTGTTAGGCGTTCAGAGCAAAATCTCCATCGAGACTGCTCCTCTCTTTCAACCGTGTCTATCAAGACTTAGGATTTGTCGCCTTTTAAGCCTATTTATTAGTATATATAATATTTAATAATAAGATATTTGGGTAACAATAATTTGTACAGCCGTTACCGTTGAGGTACACACTTCTGAAATGCACTCAAAACTTTGTTTAAATATTGCGTCAGCCAATGTTACTTGGTATTTGAAATTATAGAGGAGGTGCGTTTCCTTCAACCTAACGGGAGAATCCTCCACCAATCTTACCACTGACTGACCGGCCCAAAATCTCCAGTGACTTTGCAGTATAGTTGGATATCAGTACTTAGGAATACCTCAATAACGGGATTTAGGGCGTAATTGTATTGGTTTCTCTTTTGAGATTGTAGATGCTTCAATCTCAAGTACTCCAAACCGCCAAAAACTGGTATCAATATCTAGTCTGTAGCCAAAAGCGAAATTAAACTATATTTATTTGTGATATTAATCAACATTATTATTTACTGAATGAGCACAGTGGCCTAAATATCGGTACGTGACTGAGCATTAAGTTGAGGTATTGTCCGAACAGCAGCCCGAATAATTTGAGCATTCTAAAGCTTTGCTGTAATGTATAACACGCGTCATATTCATGGGATCAAAGTTTTATATTCAATTCAAGTACAAAACATCTTAAAACATTTCAAACTCCCAAACAGGCCTTAAATAATGACGAGGATGTGATAATTTAGCATTCTACTGGTGAATAAATTTTTGCATTCGGTAGTTTTTGCATACTATTATACAAATCTTTCCTCTTTATACTATTAGTATGTTTATAAAGAATTTATTTTTCACTAAATAGGTACCCAACATTTTAATCTTTAACCTAAATATTTAAAAAATATGTACATTATTCTTGTTATGACTATAAAATATCTAAACAAGTATTAACATTGTAAACTTTAAAAATTTAGCATCAAGTGACTGATCAGAATATGCAAAATCTATGAACGTGTACCGTGAGACGTTTTACACTTGCGATGCCTACATCCCTTGTGTATTATCTATAACTCATTTAGCCCTGCAATTTTACCATGTAATACCTTCTGTGGTAAATGGGCAATCCAAAAAGAATCAAATCCGAATCAATAGTTCTGGAGGTGCGTTCAAACAACCTTTTCAGCGTCACAATACATACCTATGTTATAGAAAAAGTACTCAATCAAAACTTGGTTTAAGTAGTAATAATAAAATTGTTGTTAAGGAATCGTTATCTGTTAGTCTACATTATCTTTGTACCGGTGAGAAACTGGAGCGCGTCGCTAGTACAATCTTCATCATCAATATAATTTTGTATGTAATATTTGATATTTTCCGTGTTTAGTAAACGTAATTGTTTACTGTCATTTTTAGTTCAGTTAAAAATTTAATAATAAAGTAAAACATATAATAATCACATAGATAATGAAGATGTAAACTTAAGGTAGAAAATTTATGCTTAGGTATAAATTAGGATCTTTTATTTTTTATTGGAATAGAAGGCAAACGAGCAGGCTTTGAATAAAGTAATAACTGGTGGTTCCAAACGTGTCAAAAAATCTATATAAAATAAATTATACTATAATATTTTATATCACATCAAAAATCGGTACGTCATTAAAAGTTTCACTAGACAAATAAAAAGAATATATACATAATTTACAAAAACATCCATGTAATAAAAAAACAACAAAATATTTCGGTAAAGAAATTTCATTCACATTAAAAAATAATCACTAACTTACTTATCAATATCACCTACATCGATTGAAACCAAGTGATCGAACACTTTAAGAAATACATTTTAACTTGAACTAACTCCATAGAACAATGGACCATCATTTATGACAATA